TTTTCTTGTTTTCGTCGTCGACGCGCGGCTGTTCTGTCCAGTTTAGTGTGACCGCGGACTCGATAAAGCTGAAATCGATCAAAATCGAGCCTAGAAATAAACCAAAATATTCCGTCTCACTTTAAAAATATATCGTAAATATACTGACGAATTCAAGTTCATTATACATATTCCTCGAGTTTGATATTTCGTGGAATATTACTAGCTATCTAGATCTCTCAGCCCTGCCCACATAATTTTATCCGATTAATTAATCAATTTTCTACATTACTAGCTTAATTTAAATACTTGCTTTGGCTTGATTTTGGCAAAAAAAGGTTTTAGCAAAGAAGGTCAAACATATAAAACGTAATAAAACGTAAGAGAAAAATCGTTACTATTGCTTAATTTTCATATTCCGTTGAATAATGCTGACTAACTAAAATCTTTAGCTCTGCCCATATAATTTTAGGCCATTGATGAATAAATTTTCTACAAGATTGGCTATTTTTAAGTACTTCCAATTGTTGTATTTTGATTACAGCAAGGTTTAAGCAAAAAAGGTCTACAAAAAAAGGAAACGTAAGTGAGTATGGAATGTAGAGACATTGTTGAGTTGAAAAGGGACATTTGGGCGAGGAAAAAAAGTCCCGCCAAATGGAAATTGTTTGAAAGTAAATGAGTGAAAAGGATTTAAATGCAATCTATTGAAATAAATGATACACCTAAGTACGATTTGAGAGCGAAAATTCAAATCCGCCCTCCGTTTTAACATTAAAGAGTGAAATTTATTTCTCGTTTTCTTCGACGCGCTGTTCTGTCCAGTTTCGAAAATTTTTACATTTTGCTCAATTTATTACATGGCAACTACACGGGAGCTACACACTTGCTACATATCAACAGGAAAAATGGTTCAGAAAATGCAACGCATGCTAAGTAAAATCAACTCCTTTTTCCTTACATACCTTGAAAATCCCCATTCTGTCTTCAAGGATGCCTTGGATGTTTTTACATGTTGTCCATGCCGCTTTCTATAGACCATTCGAAATTACGCGCTCCCGACTCATTTGTTCGTTGCATGCATCAGGGTGACCGTCTAAAACTGAGAAATATACCGTCTCATTTTCAAAATCTAAATATACCGATGAAAAACACTAAATTAACCTACTTAACCTTCTTTTTTTTTAAACAGGTCAACAACTCAGGTTAAACCGTGAAAAATAACACTGCTTGTAACAGCCATCCTTTCTATTTACTGAAAAAAAATTTCCACGATTATTTTTACCTGAACCGCGCTAAAATTCTTCGAGAACTAACATTTTATGGTTTATGAACCAACCAACTGGTTGATAATGGTTAAATAAATGAAATAGGGTATAAGGATGTCCATACTCATAGCGGATACCTGTTGACCAGCAACAATGACGTAAAATTTCATACACTCCTAAAGTTTTATGCTTTGATCTATTTTGATCTAAACGTAATTTTAGACATTTCAGCTGAAAGATATCGTGTTCCCTTTTTTATGCAAAGATGAATGATTTTCATTTATTATTATCATTTTCCGCTGTTTAACTCATTTTGATATCCAGTTTAAATAAAGGGGGCTTAAGTGGGCTAAGTTCGTATGCTTCAAATGCTTGCACCTTTGTTTTAATTTTCCAGAAGCACCTATTTAGGTAAACAAACATCCAAGATGCACCAGGCCTACAATGTGCAATCCATATTGAAGCAGGGCGTGCAGATAGAGTCGATAGCCGCATATGGTAGGCTATAGTTCCCCAAATATTATCCATTTATAGCAAGCTATATATTTTCAGGAAACCATGTCATCTTGGGCACCCGGAGCGGACAGCTCATTATGTACTCCGTGGACGAGGGCGGTGTGGACATGCGCATGTTTAACAAGAACTTTAGCCGCAAGCCCATCACCCAGATGGAGGTTATTGCCGCCGAGAACCTGCTCTTTGTCCTCACCGACAACTTGATACAGGTGTGCGATATCGGCCGGCTGGAGAGCAACTTTGCCTTCCTGCACAGCTCGGCGGACACCAAGGGCTGCACCCTGTTCACCATGGACGTGGACTCGCAAACGTCCACAACGGGCGAGGTGGCTACCTTCATTCGCGTTTGCTGCGCCATCCGGCGTCGTTTGGTATTCTTCTTCTGGAAGAAGGACAAGCTGGACTCGCTCCAGCTGAGCATCGAGCTAAGCGACGTGCCCAAGACTCTCTGCTGGGTAGGCCATGCCGTCTGCGTGGGCTACAAGGATGAATATGTCGTCTATGATGTGAGATCTACACAAATTTTATAATTATCTCTACTGATCATGGTTTATTTTAGATATCCTGCAATACCCCCAAGAAACACGACCTTTTTCTAACGTCCTCCTCCGTCAGCAGGGATCCGTGCATCTGCCTCATACGCAACAACATGCTGGGGATATCCAAGGACAAGTATTTGGTGATCGTAGATCCCAGCCAGTACAAGTCGAAGGAAAATGATGGCAGCGCCACCTCCGTGGATGAGGTGCACCAGAACCAGAGCCAGAACTCACTGCCCCCGCTGCTCTGGTCGAGTCCCCTTCTGGATTTGGGTAAATTGAAAGCTCATTCAAGATCTATTGCCAGTCTAATCACGATTCTGATTGCAGTCTGGGATGATCCGTTTGCCGTGGGACGTGTAAACAATGCCATCGAAGTTCGTAGCTTGGTGGGCAAGGATACGCTGGTCCAGAGCATTCCAGAGCTGGAAAAGACAAGATTCTTGGTGCATGCCGACAAGGGAACAATTTTTGCGGCCGCCACTTCGGAGTTATGGTGCATCCGTCAGGTAGAAATCCCGATCCAGCGTCAGCAGCTGCTGCAACAGAAGAAATTTCAGCTGGCCATCGAGGTGACGGTAAGTCCTACAGAGAATCCTCTCCTTTATTCTCTCTTAAATTGCCTATCCGGCAGCAAATCTCCAATGAACCTGCAGAGGACAAGGCCCAGACAATACGCCAGATACACATGCTCTACGCCAAGGAGCTCTTCACCAACAACGAATTTTCAGCGGCCATGAAAGAGTTCGAGAGAGCGGCCATCGATCCATACGATGTAATCCGACTATTTCCCAATCTGGTGCCAGAACCCAAGCCGGGCACTGAGGACAGCACTGTACCCGTGTCCACTGCCCCTCAGCTGGAGGATGGCGATCTGGAAAATGCCTACTTGGCTCTGATTGAGTTCTTGGCGTTGGCACGGCAGCGAGAGGTGGTAAAGCTGCGCGACACCAAGAGCAGCTCCAAGTCTCTCCTGGAGATCATAGACACCACGCTGCTCAAGTGCTACCTGCAGACGAATGACTCCCTGGTGGCCCCGCTGTTGCGCCTCAACCAGTGTCACTTGGAGGAGTCGGAGAAGACTCTGAAGAAGCACAACAAGATCTCCGAGTTGATCATCCTGTACCAGATGAAGGGCAAACACAAGGAGGCCTTGAAGCTGCTCCAGGAGCAGGCAGGCATCGAGGGATCAGTGCTGCAAGGGCGCAAGCGGACCATCCGCTATCTGCAGGAACTAGGATCGGATCATCTGGCGCTGATCTTTGAGTTTGCCGACTGGGTGATCAAGGAAAATCCAGAGGAGGGCCTGTCCATCTTCACCGATGAACTGATTGAGGTGGAGTCCCTGCCACGCGCCAAAGTCCTGGACTTTCTGATAAGCAAGCACAAATCGTTAATCATTCCGTATCTGGAGCACCTGATCACCGAGTGGTCAGATACGAACACGCTGCGCCACAATGTCCTCATCAAGCAGTACCGTGAGAAAGTGCAGCGTCTTTTGGTCCAGCAGGAGAAGGGGTGAGTGGAAGAGTGAAGCCCTTCCTTCCTTCTGTTGTTTCCCGAAAGTAACCTTTGGTCTGCCTTTCAGCGAGGAAGTACCTGAGCTGAAGCACCTGCGGGCCAAGCTCTACAAGATGCTGGAGGAATCCAATGTCTATTCGCCGGATCGTGTGCTGGAGGAGTTTCCCACCAATGTGCTGCTGGAGGAGCGTGCCCTCATTCTGGGCCGCCTCAAGAAGCACGATAAGGTCATCGCCATCTACATCCAAGTCCTGGGAGATGTGGTCAAGGCCAGAGCCTATGCAGAGGCAAACTACGAGAATGACAAAACTATATTCCAAACCCTTGTCAAGACTATAATGGTTCCTCCCACAGAGCCGATCTATGAGGGTGTGGCTCTGCATCCCGACTTCAGTCCCGAAGTCAATCGGAAGGTGCTCCTGGAGCTACTCAACACCTACGCTGTCAAAATCGATCCCATTGAAATCTTTCAGGTAAGCTGTGGCACCTTTTTCTATTCAACCTATCTATAAGCGAATTACCTTTCTTCTCTCGCTCTCCAGTTCCTTCCCGATGACATGACCATGCCTGAACTGGAGAAATACATGGATAAGGCTGTGCGCCAGAAGCTGGCGGACAAACACCATATGCAGATGATGTGCGGCTTACTGCAGGCAGAGTCCAATCGCTTGGAGGCCGCGCTCCAAGCGAAGCGAGCCATAAGCTTCGAGCTGAACGAGAACAGCGTGTGTCCCGAGTGCAAGAAACGGTTTCCCAGCCAATCCGCTTTCGTGCGCTATCCCAACGGCCAGATTGTCCATCTCTCCTGTCACGATCGCATTGCCCGTGCAGCCGCCCAGCAATAATGTGGACTATATAATGTATTCTAATATGTAATATAACTAATCAAAAATATATGTGATCTTAAATATATTACTTGCTGATTATTTAAATGCAACGGATTTTGATGTGGGGTCTGGCAGCCCTACGCAGCAACTGCCAGTGTTGTTAAATACTGGATAACTTTTGAATTCCATGTATCATGTAGATATTATCTTCACCGCGTGTACATCGCAATAAAGTGTAAAATATATTCCTGATACACGGTGATATATGTAGAAACGCGACCTAAAGAAAACCCGTATTGTACATATTTATTTGGCTATATTTACAGAAATTTGCTTTGCACAGGAATACTTTAGGCCTCCTCGCTGCCGTCCATGAGGCTGTCGCCGTCCAGGGAGTCGTTGCAGATGGACAGATCGGACTCGGACTGGGCTCGACTCAGGGGCGGCATGGGCAGCGACAGCGATTGCTTGCTGTCCTCGTTGTCCTCCTCCTGCAGACTGGGCGAGGCTGCACTGCATCCGGCGTTGAGATCTGTTGACCCGGATCCGCCTGCATTGGCGCCCACTGAGCCGGAACCGGTGCCCATGACCGTGCCCGGCAGCTGGGTTTGCCGGATCAGGGCTAGCCGCTGCTGGGTGAGTTCCAGGTGGTGCTTGCGCCACTTGATGCGACGATTCTGGAACCACACCTTAACCTGCGCCTCCGTCAGCTTGAGCGTGTGGGCGAGGTACAGTCGCTCCGGCCCCACCATGTACTGCTGCCGCTCGAACTCCGCCTCCAGGCACTCCAGCTGCTCTGGCGTGAAAATGGTCCGCACGCGCTTGTTCTTCAGCGAGCTCTTCTTGTGGGAGTCTATGGGGAGAAAGGGGATTCTTTTAGCTGTGGAGGAAGTGCAGCAGCATCTGTGATCTCTTACCCGACTTGAGCTTCTCCCGCTGGAAGCTGAGCGTGGCCTGCTGCTGGGCGTGATGCTGCTGGTGGAGCTGTTGGAGGCTCTGCAGGGCCGAGGGAGCTGCTGCCCCCACGGCGGCTGCCACAGCGGCGGCGGCCGCAAATCCAGGTGGATGATGGTGCGGGTGGTGCGGGGGCAGGTAGCGACTGCTATCACAATTGAAGTTCTTTACACTCTGGCTGTTGTTGTTGTTGTTGTGGTTGTTGTTGTTGTTGTTGTTGTGGCTGTGGTTGTGGCTGCTGTCCTGGTCAATGGCATCGCGTGCGGCGCCATTGAGAGACAGATTGATGGCATTGTTGTAGTCCTTGCGACCCTGGCTCTGCAGCCCCAAAATGGCGGCTATTGTAAAGGACTTGCCCACGTCGAGGGAGGAATGCGCCGCTGCCGCCTCGAAGAGCTGCGCGTGCGACGTCGCAGTGGCCGCCGCCAACTGTTCCCGGTGGTTGTTGCTGCTGTTGCTGCCTGTTGTCGGTGGGTGGTGGCTGTCTGGGTGGGGGAGTTGTTGGTGTTGCACTGGCTGCTCCTGATGATGATGATGATGGTGATGTTGCTGCTGGTGCTCCATTTGGTACGAACTCTGACCTGCCGAGACGGCGGCCGCCGCAGCTGCTGCCGCCGCCAAAGCTGCTGTGGGCAACGCATGATGCGGTTGACCATGTGCAGAGATGCCTCCCACACCCACGCCCACGCCCACCCCCAAGCCCACTCCTGCACCGCCACTGGCTGCTGCAGCGGCACCTCCTGTGTGTGCCTGTGTGTTATGCAATGCCAGGAAGTGTGACAAGGGATTTGCGTGATATTTGGAAGGATTCTGCAACATGCTTAGAGATATTTGTGCCAACGCTGTCTCCGAGTTATCGTTGCTGCCGCTGCTGCTGCAAATGGGACAAATGGGAGAAATGCTTGAGCTTAATTGTTGTGTCTGTCGGTGTGTTGAATGTCTGTCCTCCTGCTCCCTCTCTCCCTACAGCCAGGTGTCAACGACTCCCTGATTATATCCACAATTAAGTGAAATGCGATCCCTGCGAGGAGTTGCTCTACCATGAAGGGCTCGAGAGAGCAGACAATTGAGTGGACATGGGATGACAACAGGTTAAGGCTGCCATCCCGTGCCCCGTGCCCCTCTGCACCCTGTCATTCCCATTCCTCGCCTAATTGCACTCCCTCTCTGTCACACGGAACGCACTCTGGGGCCATACCAGCTCTGTGGCAGGCAATGTGATAGCCTAATTGAGACTTTGTCACAGTTAGCTGCTGCCTGCCTGCCTCATTGTGGCAGCTTCTGCTTCCCGCCCAGTTTCAGGTGCGTGAATTATCCCCTGCCCGATGTGTGGCAGCCACACAATCAACTCTCTCTGTGGTCGTCTCTTGTTGGCTGAATATGCATCCGAGCGTCCGAGCTGCTTATAAACACATGTTAAACGTATCGTAAATTGCTGAAATTTTGTCGTGCCTTACAAATGAGCTTCATTTTCATTTCATTCCCCTAATGAAGCATTTGAAATATGCAAATTTCGGTGTAACAAGTGGCTTCCACTTCCACTGAATGACACAATCTACCAGCAATAAAGTAACCCCAAATCAGGAATGTGATAATTTGTCAAAAATAGAAAATAAATCTGCCTGTTCGTAGATGTGTCTCCTTTAAGCCAGTTGCTTGTCTGAAATGTAGTCGTCTCTTCACTTAAACCTTTGAAATGACCCAATTCTGGTAAAAGAATAGGTATATATTATAGCTAGAAGCTCAAATCATGGGTTTTGCTAAGGCTATAGTAATTCTTCAGACTGTTTTTGGATTCTCCCTCTTCTAAACAATGTAAGCTTGTGGAGAAGATACCCCTTCAAACCCTTTCCCTTAAAAATGCTTTCCTTAAATCTTTTAAATGTATTTCAAACATTAAAGATCAAAGATAATGGTATGTTTATATCACCTAGAAATACGCTCAACTTTTTCTAGTAAAGTTTAGGTAGAATTCTTTTTAAACGTATCTATGAATGGGTCTAGTATATGTGAAAACGTTTTAATACCAAATTTGCCTCGAAAACCAAAAGAAGTATGCCCAAGATCCCCCACTTGTCTATTTCTGGAAAGTATTACAAGTATATTGCAATTTTCCCTAAATATTATTTCATTTATATAAAAACCTATATAAACATTCACCCCAAAGACAGAAGACAGTTCTGTGAAGACTTGAAGCCACACAAGTGATGCCATGCCAAAAAATCATCACTCAAAGACCCACCTCTTGATCTATGAGCTGCTCAGTGCATCGGATCCGTTTCCAAGTAGTGTGCCGTTCAACGCGTAATCCTTTAATAGTTTGTAAAGCTCTCCTTTTAATGCACTTCCACTTGCGCGATAGTCGGGAGTTAATTTTCCGCTACTTCCGGTTTGCCGACGGCACGACAAAGTGTTGCCTACAGTGCGGCGCCTTCCGGGACGGATGTAACACACGGAATCGAATCGAACCGAATCAAAGCTTTTCTGGCTGAAAGAGGCGCTCGCTGGAGAGACGCATGCGAACGCGGACGTGTTGCAAACTCGAATGAAAAGTTGGCCGGTGGCAGTAAATTTTTACAATATCCACAGCAGCAGCGTCGCAACTGGCAGCAGCAGCAGACGCCGACGCCGACGCTGACGCTGACGCAGGCAGCGCAGCAAGTGATTCTTTCTCTCTGTGATTTTTCTGCTCATCCCGCCTTGGATTTGCCTCCTCTTACACCCTTCCGGCAGAGACGGAGGCCAAAGGCATAACAACATCGTCAACAGCAACGTCATTATCGTCAAGCGGAAACCTCATCATGATCATTGCCATACAGGGAGCAACCACCCGCACGGCAAAGAGGACATGGGGCGGGCGGGTAGTTACATAAAAACGAATCACCCACCAACCACCCGATCCACCCACCTATCAGAGCAACCATACCCGTTCCCATTCCTGCGAGGGCGAGTGTATGAAAAGTTATTGAAATTATGATATAAATGGATAATTGGCTCACTCTGTCTCTCTCTCTCACTCTCACTCTCTCTCTCTCTGTTGCGCTTGCTTTCTCCCTCTAAAAGGGGGCGGTTCCTGCTGCAGCATGAAAAATAAATCTCAAACAATATGGCGTTTCAGGATTAATAAATATTTGTGATTAAGTGCGCCGAGATATTGCATGTGGCAGACATAATTAATGAAGCAATAAGCAAATTAAATTCCGCTACGATATGAGCGAAAATATATGAAAAGAAGTGGGAGATTTGCTTGCGGGATAAAGAAAGCTGGAATTGAAGATTTTTCTAGGGTGGATTTTCTCTTATACCCATAAATGGGCTCCCAGATATTCTCCCTTGAAGGCCTCCACTTGATTTTCTTTTAGACGAAGATTTCGAACTGGTTGAACAAATTATTCGAAGCAAGGATATTCGATCAGGGCCTTTTTCGCCTTGAAAAAATTTAACAAAAAACTACAGAATCGAATCCACTGAATAAATATATTTTTCGGACAATCTGAAACGGTTTTAGGTTATTTCCCTGCCTTTCACTTACTTGATATCCCACAAATTAAAATAGAAACAATTGAGATGCACATCTCCACTGTCCAAAATCCTAACCGGAAGAGCAAACTATTGCTGCCCACTGGCTAAACCCCAACTAAACCCTAATTAGCACCCACTCTCCTCGAAATGGGAAATTCCCCGCCGCTCGTCTTCAATTTACCGTTTGATAAACTACGCGGAATGCCAACGATCATTACCGGAGAGCGCCGCCCGTCCCCCACCCGCCCATTTAGCGGGTCATCAAAGTAAATCAATGCAAGAGCACGGAACCGAAAGGAGACGAGACGAAAGTAAGCAAAAGAGAAGCCCCAAAAGAGGAATGAATCGTTGTGGGGAAGTGGAGAGGAAAGAGCATGCGTTGCCCCCACAGACTACAAAAGAGAGACAAATTCAAAAATCAAAGTCAGGAATTTGCAGCCAAACGAGTGGAAGTGAGAGTGTGGTGTGGGCAGGATGGAGGCACTACCCAGCAGCCAGCAGGCAGACAGAGGATCCTTTCGGGTGCTGCTTCGGGCGTCACGTTTGTCGTTTCAATCATCATTAGTGCTAATGTACCCACAGGAATTGGGTAGCCACTTGGCATCGCAATGACTATGGCCGCACAGAGAGAGAGAGAGAGAGAGAGAGAGCGAGAGCAGCGGCAGCGTAAAGAGAGCAGAGGCAGGGCAGCGGCAGCGACAGAGAGATATAGTGGGAGGCGACGCTTTCGGAGACGAAAGTCTCGTCTGTCTCTATTTTATAGTATATAGGATGTACATTGCACATACAAACGAGTATTTTTTATTTATTTACCACAATTTTAATATTTTTGCATAACTTTTGCTGCCTGGCAAACGAGTTAACGGTAACAACCAAATCCCCTCCCAGCCGCTTACAGTGTGACACATGTGTGGGTATGTGTGTTGGTTCTGCTCTCTTCTGCGCATGTGTTGGCAGAGAGGGAATGAGGCTGGAATCCTCTGCCAGCGTCGCTGTTGCCAGCAACAAGAGTATAACAAATGGAAAGGTACCGCTGTTCTCTCCGACTCTCTCAAGCATCCGCTTACGCATAACTCCCGCAATAGAGACCGATCCCTGTGAGTGCCTCACCTTCTCGCTGGAATATACCTTGCCAGCGCCATTGTTGCTTTTTGTTGCTGTTGCGGCCTTTTGATAAACTTCGTCGTCATCGTCGTCGTTGCTCTGCACAGGAGTTGGACGATGGAGGTCGGTTGCCACAAGTCCTGCTCCTTATGCTGCTGTTGCTCCTTCTGTTCCCACTGCTCCCAGCATAATGATGATGATGTCCCTTCGCCCTGCCCCATAACCATAACCATAATATTTATTTATTTTTAAACACACATAAAATATAATAAATAAAAGCACAAACAAGAGCCGGGAGAAAACTTTTTTCATTATGAATTATTACGCACAAGGAAGCACAAGGAACGGGTAGAGAAGGGATCACGGAGAGGGGGAGGGGCTGGGCAAAATGCCAAACGAAATTACCGTTGTTTGCCCGTTGCGGTGCCATACCCAGGGCTGCATTTCGGGTTTCATTACAAGATGCGATGCAACAGGACTGGATTGCCTACTTATTGGAGATACAGGAAGGATATGGTCACCCCAGACAAAGCAGCTCTAAGAGAAGTGTATAAAATAGCTGAAGGAATGGGCATCTAAAGTCCGAAGAGTCCTCAGATAGTAATAAGTCATTTCAAGAACCACACTTTTCTTATAGATGATCTTTTAAATCCCTGGGAATCTAATGTTAATCCTCAAGTCCAAAGCGTTCTCAGATAGTTATAGGTCAGTCCAAGCACCATACTCTTCACATGGATGATATTGCAAATCCCTTTCCACCTGAAAAATATATAGTAAATACAGTCTGTACATAAAGTATGATATTTTTGAGGTTTATAAATAGAGATCTTCCTGCTGGAAAGCTCTCTGTCTCCTCTCTGTTGGTGTTCTCCTTTCTCATTTAATGAAAATATTTTTATTATTATTGAGCCGGATGAGGTTGTTGCATGCCACAGGCACAGTCAGGCACACAGGAAAAGGCACAAAGTGCCTAAGTGGCGCCCCACCTCACGCTCCTCTTCTGTTGCCTTTTCTGTGTTCCATTCTTTGGCGCCCCCCCCCCTCCTGGCTCCTGGCAGAGCTTAATTTTATTAGCCTCCGGCCGCTTCCCGAACCCCCTGCAGGAAGGCATTCATTTGCCAGGCGGAGGAACATCATCATGAGGTTGAGCACACAGCCAAGACGACCCCTGTCCTCCCGTCTTTCCCTCTCTC